TATATATATATAACTAAAAGTTACTTGACAAATAGCAAAGCCAAACAGGCGATACCTTCAGTCGAGTTCTTGGCCAGGATAGATTAAAGGCTCTCCCAGACAGTAACCCAACATACTACTGGAAACATGAACAGCAGACCCCAATTCTATCCAAAGGAATACTGACAATGGATTGCCGTTGATAAGGAACAGCTGATCCTCCTGGAACAGGGACCTCTGGCTGACTAGATTTACCAGAAGGGCAGATAGGGGGGAATGGATGGGGATGCTGACAGCACAGTGGACAGTGGCAGGGATAGCAGAGTATGGAGGCTCCAGTGGGAGAGGAAGGCTGTCTACCTGACGAGTTTGTATTCATGCTCAGATGCCGAGGAGCTCAGAAGGTGGGTGACTGTGACCAGTGATAGTCATGTATATAGAGATTAGAAATGCATGTGAAAACATCTCAATGTCAAGAGCCCTGGAATGAATTTTTCTGTATGAAACTTTGTGTTTTGACAACGAAGTGGAGATCTTTTTTAAACGTTGGAACCTCATTTAATTTTATGTCTTATAGAGTTTATAATGAGTAAAAGATTATATAAGCGTAATAATTCATCTGTAAACCTAGAAATGTACAGCCAATTTTGAAAGAGATGTACCCTAGCTCAGAAAAATGTTATTGAATAGGTTAATGCTGTTGTAATGAAATGCTTCTTTTAATTAAAAAAATAAATAAATAATTATGAATGAAAAAAAAAGTTTCTTTGCAGTTATACTCAATTATCGTTATTTTTTTAAAGTTGTAAAAGGATTTGTGTGTGCATGCACACGCCCGTGGAGGCCAGAAGGGGCAATGGATTCCGTGGAGTTAAAGTTACAGATGGCTGTGAGCCACCCAGTATGGTTGTTGGGAATCCAATGTGGATCCTCTGCAAGAGCAGTGTGTATTCTTCAACACTAAGCTGTCTTTCCAGCCCCTTAAGTTTTCTTTTAAAAAAAACAGTTATAGAAGTTTTATGGTAGTTTTCTTAGGCTTGCTATGTTTAAGTCCTTTACTTGGTATGTTTTTTCCTTTATAGATGTTGATGTGTAACATAGATAGACTTTTATTTTAAAACTAGCTAAGTTATATGTTATTATTCTAGCCATTTTCTTTACAAATGGTTTAATAACTTTAGTGAGTACCTTAGCCATGATTTATATATTTGAAGTACATTATCTTAGCTGAATCACAGGGTTAAGTTTGTCTTATTTTAATTTATGTGCATATTTGATGTGGATATGTGCATGTGAATACAGGTGCCTGTAGAGGCCAGAACATGATAGAGGATTCCATGGAGCTGGAGTTATGGTGGTCATAAACTATTACCGGTGCTAGGAACCAAACTTGTATTCTCTACAAGAGCAGCATGCACTCTTACCTACTGAGCCATCTCTCCACACCCCTCAAAGTAGTTTTAAAAACATATTTTTAAAATTTATGTGTATGAGTGTATTGCCTGAATGCACCTGTGTCATGCAGTGCCCATGGGGGTCAGAAGAGAGCATTGGATGCCCTGGAAGTGGAGTTATAGACAGTTGTTAGTTGCCATGTGAGTGCTGGGAATTAAACCAGGGTCCTCCTCAAGAGCAGCCAGTGCTCTTAACCACCGAGCCATCTCTACAGTTTTTAAAAACCTCACCTTAAAGAGGATTTCCTGTTCTACATTGAAACTTTTGTGTATATGTTTTTATTTAAGACTGACATCTTTTGTTTTAGTTACAATGAATCTCAGTGTCTAACAGCTTATCTACGGGGGTAGAGGGGCTTTTGCCTCATATCTCTATTTAAGTCCATGTTCTTATAGCTGATTTGGTTCAGTTATATTTATAGTAAAATAGTAACAAAGTCAAACAGTGAGTAGGTTAAGTTTTATGTTTTGTAAAGCTTAAAATAAGAATTTTAATTTTAAGGGCCTGGAGAGATGGCTCAGGGGTTAAGAGAACCCGGGTTCAATTCCTAGCACCCACATGGAAGCTAACAATCGTCCTGAACTCCAGCCAGGGGGATCTAATGCTGTCTGCTGGCCTTTTGGGGTATTGCATGACATGGGTCACTTAAACACATGCAGGCAATACACTCATACACCTAAAATAAAAATAATAAGTGTATTTTTTTATTTAATTTCAATTCTGAAATATAGACAGTACATAAAGTTAAGGGGAATTACGTTGTCTGGGTTACTTATGTGTAAAAACACAACTCAGAGTATGCGCATACTCCTTTATACACATGTGTGCTTGTTTTCTGTATTTTAGACAGCAGTCCTTTCCCCTCGTCAATTCCACATGCCTTCCAGATTAATTTTAACAGTTTGTACATGGCCCTGTGTGAACAGCAGACATCTGATCAAGCAACTCTCCTCCTGTACACTCTGCTCCATCAGAATAGCAATGTCAGAACGTACATGTTGGCTCGAACAGATATGGAAAATCTTGTAAGTATCAAGACAAACATGCCATGTGATTCTTAGACGTTACAAGGAATGAATTATTTTCCCACAACAGTAAAGGATGCTTGCCTCTTTGCTACCCTGGTGATGTTTGAGAGATTGACAGATATAGCCAGACATAGGCAGAATTTCTCCTTTGTAGGAGGCAGGAGGTGCTTCAGAGCATAACATAGCAGCAGCCAGCAGCCTTACAAAATCTCTGTCCCGAGGTCTTTAGCTGCCACCTGTTGCCCAGGAGTCAACCTGATCAGGTGTGCTAAGAAGCATCCTCTGCAGCTCTCAAGGAGATTTTTATTTCTTCTTGTCCCTTATAGCTATGCATGCCTGTCCACCAGGCAAATGTATTTGATCATGATTGTTGCATATTCTTGGTGAAAGTTCTAAAAGGAAGGGTGATTTTCCAGCTGTTTCCCAAGGGTCTGTCCTTCTAACAGCCTTGATACCAGGACCCACTGAATGCAGTTCCTGGACTGTTACAGTTATTTTAAGGCCTCTTGTGAGACATCACTTAAATTGCCACTCGCTTTCACTATGTGAATAAAATCAGTTCCACAGTTTGCTTTGACAAAATCCCTTATAAGCAATGGTTGATTTTCCATTGTAACTAATATTTATCATCAGTATTTTTCTGAAGGGGAATGTAAGCTACCTTTCCAAGGTATATTTGAAATACATTATATAGAGATAACTGTTAACTCTAACACACATTCCTGAAAGAGCCAGCAGCTTGCTGACAGCAACAGAATATCCGCTCAGCCTTGAAAAAGGCTTCACCAGGGATTTGGCAATCTCTTATTGTTTTAAAGTACTGTGTAAATGTTGAAGAAACATGAAATAGTAGAATTTATTCAGGATATTCTTTATAACAGTGACATTAAGAACAGAAAGTATTTTTAAAAAGATCTCTATACTAGCTAGGTGTGGAAAACTTTGGCTTAAGTAGCAAAATTGAGTGTGGAAGCCCACTAGTCGTGAATAAAACTCTGTTGAGAGGATACTTGTTTCCTGGTGTGTGTGTGTTTGTGTGTGTGTGTGTGTGTGTGTGTGTGTGTGTGTGTACAGACAGTTGTGAGAGTGGTGATGTTCTAAGGGAAACATCAGCAGTCCACAGGAAGCCTGATGCATGACTTGTAGACTTCTGTGGTAAGGATGTTGGTTTGTAAGAAGAAGCAGGGAACAGCAGTCTCTTGAGTTTAAAGACAGATATATATCAATGACAGTCTATAAGGTTGCATTTGAAGGTTTTTAGGAAAGTAAAGTTGGGTAAAGTTAGATTTGTTTTAAATCTTCTTTCATACAAAACTTTGGTGATGTCCTAACTTAAGTTCTTATCTGTCCTTTTCCCTCTTCTGTATAATATTTGTTGAGGCTTTGATTAGGAAATATAAGTAGGAAATTTATTGTGCTGATCTAATTTTTTAAATTGTTAACATCAATTCTTCTATTCTCAGAGGGTGGTATGTGGCATTTTACAGTTTCCCAAATACCTTATATATGGGGTCTTGTGAAAGTGGAGACAGACCTGTTACTCTTCAGTGTGGGTCCTTCCTACTGACATATTCTGTGATTCCATTCGTAGAAAACTCCAAGATAATCTGATCTATAGAGACAGAAAGTAGTTCCTTTGAGCATTAGGTGGTTGTTACAATCTGAATCTGAAATCTTCCTTTGGTTTTATGATTGGTACACTTAATCCCTGCTTGTGTTGTTCTAAAATTCCTGGCACCTTTAGGAGTGGAGCCTGGCTGGTAGAAGTAAGTTATGGGTGGGCTTTCGAAGGGTACGCCCGCCTGTGGCTGTGGCCTGGGCTTTCTGTTTCCTGGTCTATATCATGTGAATCTCCACCTCATGCTTTTGCTACTATTCTGTCCACCATGCCAGCCTCACTGTGATGACTTGAAATCCCTCTGAAACTGAGAGCCAAAATGAAGTTGATTCTTGCAGGTATTTTGGTCACAGTGACATGAAAATAGCTTATAGGCCCATCAAAGACTAAGATAATTGGAGCGTTTACAAAAAAAAGAGAGCAACTATTTTGGTGACAGTGATACACTTAGTTCCTCAAATTGGGCTGTGTTCGTGCACCATGCTTTCTAATTTAGAGGAAATTTCAGCTATGTCTTATAAAGTAATAAAACACCCAGGATCCTAGATGTGTCCTCTAAAAAATACCTACTTCTGTGGGCTGTATACATCGGCCTGCTCAAGGTCTTGGTAATATGAATGGTTTACTTCTCACAGGTTATTGCCTGAGTTAGATGATAGAGTTTTGACTTAGTTCATAGCATTCTGTGGATAGTGTTCAGGGTAGTTTCATATAAGGCATAGTATGCAACTAGTTTGCCTGTATTTAATAAATAATTATAGTGATGTTTATCTTAATTAGTAAGAATGAGCAAATAGGTGTCAGATAATGATTTGAACTAAATTGTTGGGTTTGTGAACAGGATCATAAAATGAGATATTTAACAGATACAGAAGAATGAATCTCAGTGTACTTGTTTAGAAAATATACCTTGGGCAGCAATAATCCATTCAATTACTAGTTATATGAAATAGACTTTTGGTTTATTAACATTAATGTACAAGTGATACTTGATACTAGTAATCACATAAATTAAAATGTTTTGACATTTTTGAGCAGCCAAGCTTTTCTGAGTAGCTAGATTTTTTTTTTCTCCCTATTATAATTGGGTGATGAAACCTCTTAAAATCTTCAGACTGTGACCCTAAATTGTCTTCCTGGAGTTAGTAATGACTGTTTTGCTTGGTACCTTAGGTATGCATGTGGAGAGTACATGTAGCCAGACACAGCTTTGTATCTTTTTTATTTAAGGAACATGATCTTAAAGTAAAACATATAAAATAAAAGCATAAATGTTTAAAGCATTTGGTTTTATGACATATTGAAATAGTACATTATAATTTTTATTTCCTAGGTTTTACCAATTCTTGAGATTCTATATCATGTTGAAGAAAGAAATTCACACCATGTGTATATGGCCCTTATAATACTGTTGATCCTTACAGAAGACGATGGCTTCAATAGGTCCATTCATGAAGTGGTAAGTCCCCTATGACTTGTTTTGGAGTGCCAGAACAGAACTGTCCTCCCATAGAATGTATTCACTATTATCATTTCATCTGTATTTTTTACCTAGTAGATGTTTCTGGGAGGACTTGGATTAGAAATGGTATGTTTGCTCCAGGTTTATAAACAAATGCTGTTTTGTACCTCCATTCTTTTCTGAACAACTGTTAGTCACTATTATTTTTTTATTTATTTTGGTCTTTGTGAGACAGGGACTCTGGATTCACTATGGAGACCAGGCTGGCCTCGAACTCACAGAGATCCACCTGCCTCCCAAGTGCTGGGATTAAAGGTGTGCACCACTACGCCCGGCTTATTAGTCACTATTAAAATCTATCAAAATGGTGATTTCTCCCCACTCAATCTCAATTTCTTATTCTCTTTGATTGTTGTTACATATACATACATATATAGAAAATATACATACATACACATACACACACACACATATATATATATATATATAATGCACTGAGCCCATTTAGTGGTGCTTGTGTATACTTGTGTTTAGGGCTGTCCACTTGGGATTAGATAACCTCTCAGGGAGCTAGACCCTGGAGAAAACTGATTCTCCCTCCCTCAGCATCCATTCATTGCCTGTAGCTCTTCATCTTAAGGTAGGACTCTGTGAAATTTTCCTCATCTAAGTTGGCATGTCAACTGGTTTTGTCATTTTGCAAATCTTGTTAGACTACCATACTATAGAGATTTCACTGGTGTAGCTTCCCTGTCATGTCTAGAATGCATTGACTAATAGCAGATGTCTTGTCCCTCAGGCTCTTACATTCATCCATCCCCTTTTATGTGATACTCCCTGAGGCTAGGTGTAGAGATTTCATTGTGAATGTGTCACTTAGGCCTGGGTACCTACAGTCACTTATTCTCTGTGTTTGGCCAATTGTGGAACTTTATAATAGTCTCCATCTGTTGCAAAAAGAAACTTCTTTGATGAATGGTGAGAGATACACTTGTCTGTAAATATAATGATATGTATTTAGAATACAGTAAGAAATTACGTTGTTCTATGAAAGTGACAGAAGTAGGTTATTCTCTAGGGTCTATGACCTCTCCAACCATGTATGTACTTAGCTATATTTACAGTACCATGAGTAGATTCCTTCCTATATGCCCTAAGTTCAATTAGATAGCTGTTGATTAGCCCCAAGCTAAAAATGCCACTACTGCACCAATAAAAATAGTTTGGTAGGACAGTTATTGTTGTGGTTTGTAGACTTTACAGCAGTTTTCTCCCTTGGCAGCTTGCATAGTATTTTCTGATACTATGAGATCTAGTCTTCAGGGACCATCAGGCAGTTCTGGTGCTTGCTGGGCCTGGCCGGTTGCTGACTGGCTGGCAGGCAGGCATGTTGCTTTCTTTGTGGCAGCCCAGAATTAGTGGATATGTGTTGTCTCTTTCTTTCTGACTCCCATGTTAGGAATATACTGTGGAAACAAATATCTCAGGTTCATTTAGGAGAAATTCTTGATCTCTGAGGCCTGGAAGTGTGTTGCATATCGTCCTACTGTGAGCAACCATGGGAAGACCCTGAGCAGCTTCTCTTGAATGTCAGGCTCATGTTGTTCCTGGCCTCTGTCTCAATGACTTGTAGATTGTCTTCACTCTCCTGGGAAAGCTCCACTAGCACACTGCCTTACTTTTGCTTTCAAATTGCTAAGGTGTTTATTTTCTTTCTTCCTATCATCTGTGTGTTATATCTCTTTCAGAGCTATCTCCTGTTTGTTTACTAATGGTATTAATAGATAGCTTCCTCCAGACCTATTTTCCCCTTCTCATCTATTTAAGAAGGAAGGAGAAGTAAACATAGTAGCACCATTTACTTACTGAACATCTGTTAACTTTTTGCTGTTTCACTTACCTTTAGAGCAGTGCTGGCTTATGAAAAGAATGGAAGAAACACTTGTTTTTCTTATGGCAATCATTTTTACTTAAACTTTTCTTCCCCATTACAGATATTAAAAAACATTACTTGGTATTCAGAACGAGTTCTAACTGAAATTTCCCTGGGGAGTCTCCTGATCCTGGTCGTAATAAGAACCATCCAGTACAACATGACCAGGACAAGAGTAAGTACTCCATAGCCATTTTTCTATTGTAACACAGTTAACACCATAGTTTAAAGCATTGAATCTCAGTTTTTAGAGTGCAAAAATTGTCATGAAATGTGCTAGAAAAATTCAGATCAGCAGTTACTATTTTACATGATTACATTGCAATTATATCCTGTTCTTTAATATTTAATGTGGTCAAAGATATTTTATGTGAACTAGAAAGTGAGCAATGCAGCACACTGACATCACTTATATCTTTGTTGGACTATAACACTGGTTTGCCTTTTCAAAACAACAGCAAAGCTTAAAAAGATGAGAACATAAGAAAATATGAATTCTGATGAGGAAGAAAAGTCCAGTGGTCTTGGGCTGCTGTTAGCTGATAAGAGTGTTATAGCTAAATGGTTGTTTACTTATTTTCATTTGTTTCTTTCTGTGGGGCTTGTTCAGGTACATGTCCATATTTTTTATCTGAGACCGTAGGAGGCAGTTGTATTTTAGGAGGGAGAATCGTTTGTGTTTTAGAAAGACCATAGTGTACCCTCTATGCTGTGTGAGGCCGTGGAGATCTGGAGCAGCACATTGTAATTAATAGCGTTTCTGCCGTAGATCATTTCATTATGCAATGGGAATACTGCTCATCAGTGGCGTCATATTTCATGTCCCTTGTTGCTTCCAGATTTTGTAACTAAAGATTAGGGATCCTGGATGCAAACTTTCTAAAACTGGGACAGCTAAGTCTGTCTGTCTGTCTGTCTGTCTGTCTGTCTGTCTCTCCCTCCCTCCCTCTCTCCCTCTCTCTCTCTCCCTCTCCCTCCCTCCTTCCCTCCCTCCTTCCCTCCCTTCCTCCCCCCGCCTCTCTTTTTGGTCTTTTTGAGATAGGGTCCTCCTGTATTCCTAGCTGGCCTGAACTTGCTATGTAGACCAGGCTGGCCTTGGACTCACAGAGATCCACCTGCCTCTGCCTCCCGAGTGCTGGGACTAAAGGTATGTACCACCATGCCTAGCTTAACCTTTCTTTTTTTAAAAAAAAATTATTTATTTATTATTTTTATTTTATGTATATGAGTATATTGCTTGCATGCATATGAGTGTACCCATATGCAAAGCCTGCGGAGGTCAAAAAAGGGTGTTAGATCCCCTGGAACTCGTGCCATGGACGGTTGTTAGCTGCCATGTGGGTGCTTGGATTTGAATCCAGGTTCTCTGCAAAAGCAGTCAGTGCTCTCATCCACTGAGCCATCTTCCTAGGTTCTGCTTTTAACCTTTGTAAAAATATGGAGAAGGCTTAATGCATGTTTTAAACTTGCTGTTTCCCTACAGGACAAGTACCTTCATACAAACTGCCTAGCAGCTCTAGCAAATATGTCAGCACAGTTTCGTTCTCTCCACCAGTATGCTGCCCAGAGGATCATCAGGTAAATATGAGCCTTGCCTTTAGTGATATACTGAGTTTTGCCTTTGGGCTGATCTTTTGAGGAAGGTACCATGCCAGTGTCCTTTTCAAACGTCTGCATGTAGGTAAGTGCACCCGTGTGGTACAATGCCCACAGAGGTCAGAAGAGGCTGTCGGATCCCCTGGGACTGGAGTTATGGACAGTTGTTAGCTGCCATGTGGGTGCTGGGATTCGAACCTGGGTCTTCTGCAAGAACAACCAGTGTTCTTAACTGCTGAGCCATCTCTCTAGTCCCTCCTTGAGGCTAACAACCAAACAATGTTAAATGTTCTAATCCTTGAGATTTTTTGACATAGGGTCTCACAAGGAACCTCAGGCTGGCCTTGAACCCATAATCCTGTTGCCATATTTTAAGCTCTGATCTTACACTCTGCCCATTTGTCACTTTGTCAATCTGGAGGTTCGTTCTCTCTCTCTCTCTCTCTCTCTCTCTCTCTCTCTCTCTCTCTCTCTCATCTTTTTGAGACAGGGTCTCCTTGTAGCCACAGCTGGCCTAGAACGCACTATGTAGACCAGGCTTGCCTCTGTCTCACAGAGATCTGCCTGCCTCTGCCTTCTGTGTGCTTGGATTAAAGGTGTGTGCCACCATGCGCTATAGAACTGGGTCATTATTGATAATTATTCAAAATTAACTTGTGTTCTTTATCTCTCTTCAGAATTTAGTAGAGGATATTTTGCGCTGACTCAATTTAATTCATATCTGATCTTCATTCATTTTATTGAATGGGGTGGGAAGGGGGAGTAGTGAGGACTGTCCAGTTAGCTGACTTTGAACTAATGAACTTTAGACTTAAAGTATATATATAACTGTCTTCTTATACCCAGATTCTTCCAGGTATTCTCAAGAGCCCTTTGCTTCCAAAAGTTAACTTTTGTCTCACTGCTTAATTTTAGTATTACAGATTTAATTATTTCTGTGCTGCTTTATGGTCCTTTTCTACCCATATAGAGAAAATTTTGTGATACTTTCAAGTTAATTTTCTTATAATGAATATTTTCTAAGTCCTGTTCATGTAAATCTCAAGTGAACTAGTTCATTATTTAAGTTCTGGCAATATATGTTAGATGATTCTAAATAATAAAAGTTTTCTGGATGTAAGAGTTAGAAAAATCACAAAGCAGTGTCCCCAATTTTCTACCTGTTATTCACAAGACAAACCAGTCATATTAAATAAATAAGAAACATAGTTTAGATTTGTAATGTGGAATTGTATAGATTAAGTTATCATCAATAATAAATAATGATCTGCTTTACTTTAGTGGATTTTTATTTAGCATTATATGAGTAAGGAGCTGTGGTAAACAATACAAAGACTGTCATCATTAGTAATAAAGGTTCTTGTTCCGGAATAGCATAACTCAGCAGCAGGCATAAGACCTGACCCTTGTGCATGTAAATTACAAAGAACTTGTATGCCTTAGAATGCTATAGATGTTAGGATGGGATAAAATCCTTACAATGGGTATAAGTGGTGGGTTCTGAGAATGAGAACACATCTCGTTGCGAGATGAGGCAAGGTGACTAGAGAGGAGTGGCATTAGGTACTGCCAGTCAGGAAAGGCATCAGTGTCAACCACTAAGATGAGCTTGTGGTGAGAGGGGCTGGTTTCTATGAAGAAGTCCCATGAGAGAGATAGGGAGAAGGGGGTCTATGAAAGGGAACATTCTCACTGTACAATGTAGACTTGTATGAAAATGTCCTTATATAAGCTAGTACCATGTGCAATGAGTATGTACCAACAAAAATGAAAAGTTATAAATAAGTAGATACATTTAAAAAGGTCCTGCATGGTTGGAATGCTGTGGACCAATGCAGAGATTGTAAGCAAAAAGCAAAATAAACTGGAATCTTATTATTTAGGCTCTTAAGTATTAGCCTTGTAGTTTAAGATAATGAGAGAGGGCGGGGTGTGAGTTGCAAATAGAACTTACAGGAAAGATTTAAGGTAGATTTATAGAGTCATTCATTTCAGCCATTGACAGTGGTGTGAGGTGAAGTATAATTCTAGCAAATGCCTAAGTGCTGCCAGTGCTGCTTTTCTGAGAACCACATTTGAGTGGCTCCTCTGAACAGAGCATTCTTGTCATCCAGGAAGGAGCTTGTTATATAGACCCAGCTTCAGCTAGAATCCTTTCATAAACAAGGTCTGCAGATGATTTGTAGGCACATTGAAATTTGGGCCTGGAAATCAAGATTTGTTCTGAGGAAATACTTGGAGTGGAAATGGCAACCAGCTTTTTGCATCTTGAGGGAACTCATTAAATGTTTGTATTTGAGGTTAGAACTGCAAAATGCCATGGGTTGCATAACCTTACTTTGTAGACACCAGAGCATTACAGACCAGTTCCACTCTAGATTTGCCATTATTGTAGCAATTCCTTCAAATGAGAAGTTCTTGTGTGTGTCTCTAAATTCTCTTTTAGGAAAAGACTACACAATTGTATATGTCAGGTACAAAACTCAGAAGAGCCAGTGTTTTATGTGATCTGCAACAAGATGCAAGAATTACATATTTTGTTGCTATGAGAGGATTTGAATAAAACTTTAAAATCTTCTTAACTGGACTTAAATATAAAGAATGGTTTCTTGTGATCCTACACAGTTTATACTTAATAACAGTGTGCCTGCCACACACTCTAGGATGCCTTGGATTATCAGATATCTTTCTGTAGTATCTCATTCTCCCTTTTTTTTTTCTGTCTTTGCACCCTTTCCCTGGTAAATCAACTATATACCTGTAATGTCACCTACTGAAAATTTGTAGATGAAAAACACCCATGTATTTATTTATTTACTTATAATGGAGATCTTGTTCTTTCATAGTACCTGATGGGCAGTGCAGGCTGGTATAGAGCAGAGACTAGAGCCAACTGCCAAGGTTTGTGATCTCAGCTATGGAATCTACTAGCTATGGAATCTTGAGGACATTACTTAGCTTCTCTACATAGAATTTTCCCTACTCTAAGATGGTGGTGACAGTAGTTGAATCTGTGACCAAGAGTCCTAGATCAGAAGTCCAACTCCAAGTATGTCAGGTCTGGCCACTCCCCACCACCCCCCAAAGCAAACAAAACCAACAGTGAAACAACAGGAAAGGTTTAATCAAAATGGCCATTTTGGGAAGACAGAAAGTAAACATTTCAGTCTATCTTTGAAGTACTGGCATGAGCTTTAGTTTTAAATGGTGGAAGAAGTAGAGTGGGGTAAGAGGTATGCGTAATCAAACAATTTTGATCAAAGTGTTATTAGGTTGATATTTTCTCAGTTGTGGTTCTGCACAACTGCTTTTGGGATCTGGAACAAAATGGTGAAAAAGCTGACTTCAGAAGAAGTCCTTATTGCTTGGAGGGACAATCTGCTTTCCATGAGATGATTGCCTCTAGTTGAGGGTGATCTCATCTGGGTAGTCTGTGAGATTCCGTTGTTCCAGGAACCTGAGGTTTAGGACAGAAACTGGAGACTATCAGGCTACTTTGGGGATCTGGAAGAAAGTGGTGGAAAAGCTGACAGTAAAGATGCCTCAGTTGCTCTTACCTTGGTGTCTTCAGCCTAGAAGGAAGATGAGGTAGGTAAAGTATCACTGGTTTTTAGGGAGATTCTTCTTGGGTGTTTAATATGCTTATGTGCAGAGTTAAGCTGGGCTCTGACCCAGAGCTTTAAGACAAAGAAGGTGATACATAAGGAAGGTTTTGATAGAAGGCTTTTATCCTGCTGTTAGTTATCTTGTAATGCCCAGTAAGGAATGAGTCTTTTTAAACAAAAACCTGTTGTAATTCCCCACTTCTATCTGAGCATTTTTCAGTCTTGAGGGCAGTAGGGTATTGGCTAGTCTGACTTTGTTGGTTTTCTGGCCATGTGATAAAGTAGCAAGTGAGGAGGGGAAAAGTTGAAGTGGCTGAAGCATGCAAGTGGGAAGCGCTAGTTGTTTAAAGTTAAAGGTGGAAAGTACTGTGAAGTAGAACACAAGAGGGACAGTCAGAAGGTAGCCAGTTAATCAGTTGTGAAGTGCATCTTTTCTTTACATAATTCTGTGAGTGTGGACTACTAAAGAGAATGTTGGGAGTTAAAGGAATAGTCATTTTCTTGCCTTTGCCAGGCTGGCTTTCTTTCTGTCTTTCTTTCTTTCCCTC